TTAACATTAGAGCCTGGCACACAGCTGACACGCAGCAGAGCAGGAGTTATTATTATCATCATTATTGTTGTTGATGTTACATATTACTTTTGGAGGAGAAAACAAAAGTAAGAATAAGAAAATAGGCTAGAATCGGGTAACCCCCACAACTAAATCATAATGAGGCTACTTCTTGGCCCTGATTTTGTCCTGCAAGTGAACAGCGAGGTTCTGAATGAAGCTTAGAAGTTTCTCCATCATAAAGACGCATCGTTTCATCCAGTAGATGCTGTTTACCTCGGGAGCAATACACATCCCACAGCTAGACTATCCAGTTCAGCAGAACGTCTCCCTCCCGGTCCCTAAGCTTCCCGGTGACGGTGGCCTTAGCGCCCTCAACGATGTGACAGTAGGGAGGCCCTTGCCCTAGGTTGTGTTTGCATCCAAAGAGTTCCTTTACCTGTTTTTCAGGGGACAGGCCTGACACGGCCATGTAGGTGCTGCCGATAGTCTTAATCTTTTCAATGTCTTGAAACCGGTCTTCGCCGAGCAGCTGAAACGATGGAGGCAGTGGTTAGTCCCGGTGTGTATTTGTCCAGCAGCAGCCTGGGGCTCCTGACAACAGTCCCCAGGCCCACACTGGGGATCTGCCCCTGCCTGGTTTAGTGCCCTTGAGGTAGCAACTTTTCTCTCTGGCAGCCATGCATTCAGAGAGTCAACACATATATACTGAGCACCTGCCACGTGCCAGGCACAGGATGGGTGTGGCCAGGTACTCTTTTAGGTCTGTTGCTGTGAATTTTGAAATAAACAAAGCTCCCTTATGAGTTTAAACGAGAAATCACAAATGTTCCCCAGTCCATCCACACATCTTTTTGGGTTTACGTTAACCGTGTATCTGGAATCCTAGCCCTTCTCCGCCCGTAACCTGGTCTAAGCCGCCGTTAGGTTATACCTACCTGCTGCAATCGCCTACCTGCTCCGGCCCTTACCCCATGCCCCGCACGGCAGCCAGGGTGACCCCATTTAGTCAGGCCATGTCTCTGCTCTGTGCATAGCCCGCCTGTGGCATCCGGTCCCACTCAGGGTCAAAGCCACAGTCTTCACTGGGACCTGCCCATCCTGCCATGCTCTGTCCCCTTCGCTCACTCTGCTCCAGCCACATGGACCTCCATGCTGGTCCTAATACCAGGCCTGCCTCTGCCTCAGGACCTTTGCTGTTTCCCTGATGGGACAGTCTTCCCTCAGGCGAAGGCTGCAGGGCCCGTCCCTCACCTCCTTCAGGTCTTTCCTCAAATGTCATCCCACTGGGGTCTTGCTGTCCTCCCCATACAAGACTGAATACAACACCCCGTCCCCAGGGCCACCTACATTGTAAGGTAAGGAAGACAAGAAGAAACCAGCAAAGAAGACAGAGAAATGGAAATAAAACCACGAGTGGGCAGACGTCAAGTGGGACACAAGGTGCCCCCAGGGGAAGGTGCAGTCACCTGGGTCAGATGCTGCCGGTGGGCTCAGGATGTAAAGTCACTCCCCTGAGATCTCATCAAGTCTCACGGCTTTCCACACAGTCACTTTGCTGAAGACTCCCAATGTCTGTGTCCTCCTTGACCTTCAGACTCGCCTACACCATCGCTAAGCAACACCCCCAGTACAGGTCTAACAGGCACCCCCAATTTGCCATCCTCAATGCTCCGCCCTCAGTCCTTTCTACCCACCTGCCATCTTGATGAATGGTGTTTCCATGTTTCCAGTTGTTCTGCATAAAACCCTCATAACCCGCATTGAACCTGTCAGAAGCGCCTTAGCTCCACCTTCAGAGACACCTAGACCCTGTCTCTGTCCCGCTACCTCCAATGCACAGGTCACACATCCGGGAAGCCGGCTCCGAGTGCAAGAGCTAAGTTCAAAAGTCCAAACCCCTGCTCCCAAGTCTGAATTCTGGCCTCTTATTTCCTCTTGTTGGCAGGTATTTGGATGTAACTCCTGGTTCGCCAGCTCCTTGCCTCCCTTTCGGATTGTGATGTCCTCAGGGGCTCATGCCATCCTGGAGGGGGCGCGCAGAGAGATACGCCAGACAGAGAGGACGTGGTGGATTTTCTACAGACCATATTGCTACAGGCATCCTCTCAGCATTAAGCAGGAGCTAAGAAAGCTTGGAAAATTCCAGCTCAAGAGAAACTCTTCTGGGAAACATGAGCAACACAGGCAGGTGCTTTCGTGATTTGCTTTGTTTTGTGTGTGTGTGTGTGTGTGTGTGTGTGTGTGTGTGTGTAGCTTGATTCACAGCCGGAGCAGCCTTTGTTCGCTACTTTTGTTTCTTGAGCTGAGAAAACCGCTCTGCCCTGGCTGAGAGTCTGCAAACTGTGCCCAGGGCAGGAAGTGGCTGCAGAGCCTGCATGTTCTCAGCCGGGGATCCTGTCTGTGCCCTCAGACAGCTCCAGCAGGTGTGGTCTCCCAGCAGCCCTTCTGCTGTTGATCTGCTAGCTCAGAGGTCTTGGCACATCTGCCTTCAGCTGCCCACCTCCCTCACCTCCTTACAACTCCATTTCTCCAGCTTCCTGCAGGAGGGGCTCTCCGACCTCTCTTCTGGTGGGAACTGCTTGGCTCAGGGCCAGTTCCAGACCCAGGCAAAGCTGCGTCCCCCTCAGAAGCTGATTGGGAGGCAGCAAGAGGCTTCTTTATTTCATTTACTATCCATGCAGCACATTTACCTGCTCTACAGCTAAAAGTGTCTTGGGCATAAGGGGTTCCTAATCAGCCCGTTTATGAATTCGCTGGTCTGCATGGAGCAGTGAGATGTGAGAGGGCTCCTCCGCCCTTGCGGGGGCAGGGGCTGTGGGGCCAGGGACCTGGTCTCCGGTATTGCAAACCCCATCTTGGAGCCTGTGCTCTGTGCAATGTTCTGCTTTCCTCTGAGCCAAGAAAGAATTTCGCACGCTCTCAGGCTCCAGCGGTAACTGTATCAGCAAGCGGGGCAGCATCACTATTAAAGTGAGCACCAGGGCGTCTGGCTGGAGACCAGCCAGGGCACAGGCTAGATGATCCGGATCAAGAAGGCATGTCTGGGTGACCCAAGGACGCTGACAGTGCTTGGGGTTGGCAAGCCAGAGAATGTGTTTCCCTTGTTGATGACATGTTCTTCTCTCTTCCTTCTCCTCTGCCTTCTCTCCTACTCCCCCTCCCCGCCGCGCCCCTGCTCCCTCCCCCTCATTCTCCTCCACAGTCTTGTTCTGAAGATGTCAGCCTCCTGGACTTCCCTTAGTCTCTCCAACGTCCCCCTGCAAGCACCCATCTCTACCACTAGGGGCGCTGTCCTCCCTCTCTGTATTTTGGAAGACCCTGGGTGTTTACAATTTGGAGCACAGAGATGTGCATTTAGTTCACATTTATTTATCACAGTTTAAAAACATGCTAGTGAGCACTTTGGGGTGATGGAGTCTATCGAGTTAAAAATAAAACAGCCTCATGTCTCAACCTTCAGTCAGATTATTTTTTATAGAGCTATAGTTTTTTTTTTTTTTTACATGAAAGCATGGTTTGGACCGCACTTATCCATCTTCACCTTCCCCTTTGTCCACTGGTTTCTGTCTCATTACAGAATTAATTAATAAAGCATCAGTGACGAGCATCTCTTATGTTCTAAGCACAGTGCTAGGCCCTGGGGACCTCCCGGGATACATGAGTGTACGTTCTATCTTCAGGAGCTTATGGCCTGGCATGGAGGGTGGCAGTAAAGGTGCTATCACCACATGACTGCCCTCCGCTCCCCAAATGGCAAGGCCCTCTGTACGAGTACACTTGCCACTGGCTCCTTGGTAAAGGCAACTCAGAGTCACCCTGTCTCATTGGTCCACGAAGCCGTGAAAGGCGGGAAGTGGTTGTGTCTTATTTACCTTGACCCCCACCCTCATCCCTAGGACAACTACAGGAGCCGTCCTTGAGTTTGTGACGACAGAGCCGGCACCGTGAAATGCCACTTCAGTGAGAACCGGGGCAACACAGTGGTTACAAACCAAAGCAGGACAGCGCACCTGGCTGTCAACCTTGGCAGTGCCCCTTAGTGGTGCAAAGCCTGCGCTCTGCTGGTGTTCCTGAGTCTCAGTTTGGCTTATTGATGAAATGAAGGCTAACGATGCCTATCCTGTGGGTTTAGTGTGAGGAAGAAGCCACTGCTAAATGCGATATAGTGAAGATGGCAGTATGTGGGGAACCACTTTCGGTGGTTGCTGGTGGTGTGAGGCAGGAGATGGCTGTGCTCATCCAGGTGAGAAATAATACAGCTTAAAGCAAGACAAAGGCAGCTCTGATGGTGAGAAAGGGGCAGGTCTGAATGCTATTAAGAAGAAGGACTCAGGAGCCAAGTGGCATGTGGGGACCTAGAGCGGATGGGATTGGTGGATGCTGGTGGTGCCCCGCCCACACCTGCTCTATGGGGTCGTCCTCCAGAACGCCATGATGGCTGCCTGCTGACCGTGCACGGCTGCACGCCTCTCTGGAGAACGGCCCTGGGTCCAGGGGAGTCCCCTTGCTGGAAATGCAGGGAGGCTATGCATCTGCACCAGGACAGCCCACAGACAGTGGCTGACCAGTGCAGGGGTACAAAAGCCTGGCCCGCCTGCCTCAGTGAGAAACATCCCTGTGGTACCGCTTAGGCTCCTGAGCTCCCCGGGGATCAGGCTGAGGCCCGACTGTAGCTGAACCTGCATCTGTGCATGGCTTCTTCTCCAGCGCTCTCTCACCTGACCACTGACTTCCCTTCTCAGGCTTAGGCAGGTGGACGGGCATTGGTGTCCTCCTTCAACTTGGGGGACGGGAAGGAGAAGGCCCACTCCTGCCAGGTCTATTCACAGAATTAAAGTTCAACATGAGTACTCCCCAACCTCCCCGCCCATTATTATGTGTCTTTAGACTCATGGAGGCTGGAAGAAGAAAGTGCTACCTGGAATATATTCTTGATCCCCTCCCTCCGCCTCAGGGAGAACAATAGCATTTATCTCGTGATAATTGTGACAATCAGGTTAGATAGTGCGTGTTTATGTCTGTAATGCAGCCTGGAGTTCTGTAAGTGCAGAAAATGGCCATGGCTCCAGTGGATAGCATAATGTTAGGACAGTGGTGGGCACGTGGGATGGTAAATTCCTGCGGCTTCGTTACCTCATCGAAGTCAGCGATGATCTCATTTAGCAGCCGCAGGCACTCCACTCCTTGGTTATTCATTTCCGTCTGAGAGTAAAAGTCTGCAAACCCTGGGATGGAGGCGAACATCACCCCGACGGCATCATAGGATTGAGAATACAGCTCCTGGATGGGGACACACAGAGGAACAACCAGAAGCAGTCAATAGAGGCGAGGCTCTGCAGGGAGGCCGCCCCCCCCCTTGTATATGGTCACCTGCACCCATGCACAGGTGCCCACAGAGAGGACAGAGCAGGACCTCTGACTCCGTCACCTCCACACCGTAACCACAGCGTCATCACCATGTAAAACGAGACCACTGGACATTCATGGTCTCCAGCCTCAGCTGGGCCCCGAGTTCTGACTGCTTTTTGTCCTCAGCTTCCTTTTCTGTTCTCAATGGCTAGCCGGAACCACCCTCTGCTTAATGTCCCTCCACTCGATTCCTCCCAGTAGATGGTCTTGTCTCTTCACTGAGAAAGCTGAGGCATGGTGTTCCAATACCCACACGCTGGTCTCCATTCATGTTTCTTTTCATCTCTTTTGCTTCAACTCCAGACGATGCGTTTTTCCTTCTACTGAAGGGCAATACTTCTGCCTGATGCCTCGACCCCCTTCTAATTTCTTCCCCCAGCGGACCTTTTCTTTCCTATTTCTTTCTCCTGCCATCTTCCTCCACCATCCCCGCCTCCTCAAATTGTCGCCTGTAAGACTGTGCCGTGGATCCTGAAGGCACTTGTGACTACCAGCCAGTCTCCATCTTTGCCCAAACTTCTCAACCAATGACTGATGGATAGGCTCCAGCCCCTTTACCCCTCAGGCCAATCTTGAAGTATGCTTTCTACACCATTTCCTCCAACTCCGAGGTGGGATTAAGCGCCAGTCACCCATGGAAGTAACTAGTCTGATGACACCTTCCCGCTCTCCTGCCTACAGGGATTTCCTGGGACCAAGTAGGCAAATGACTCGTACCTGAATCACTTAAGGTATGTTTCTGGAAGAAACCAAATGAAAACACCCTCATCTGTTGCACACATCACTGCTTTTATTCTTCTGTCTGTCCCTTGCTGGGGCATGTCCTTGCTGCCTGCGGTCAGCCTCCCTAACCAGGCTAACCCTTGTTTTCTGCCTTCACTAACCACTGGATAGCATGTCTCCCACACACCTTCCCAGACTCCCTGGTGGGGTCGGGGGGGCTGAGCTCGGTGCTGTGGCAGCACCCTCAGTAGCTCCCTACTGTAGCGCTTGCCGCCTGCATTGCTGCCTTAATGTCCATCTCTTCCTTTCCGTGTGTTCTCCACGAGGGCAAAGCCTCCAGAGTCTTCCTCTTAGGGCATTCACACCATCGGTTACTCGTGCTTGGATGCCTGCAATATAAGGCACGCCCTGCACAGGGTCTGGTGCAAGGTAAATGCTCAAAACTGTTTGTTGAGTGAAGGACTCCCCAGCCTCTGTAGGAAACATTAAAGCTTACAAGGAGCTTTCAGGGGAATTCAGTGATTTAATCCTTGCAATAATCTCGTGAAACAGGTACGATGATCACCCCCCTTTTCCAGATCAGGAAAATGAGACAGAGAGGAGTTCGGCTGTTGTTTGGGTCCCACAGCTGATAATGGAAGAGCCAGGGTTAGAAGACCCCCCAGGGCCTTCCCCACTCTGCCCGGTGGGCTTGGCTTCTCTGCTTTTTGTGCCCCCGGTCTGAGAAAGATGGTATCTCTGATCCACGAGCAGTCGGTCTTGAGCTTTTAAGTGTGGATGAATCTGAACGGATGCCTTCACTAGTCCTCGTCCAAGAGCACAGGTAGCCAGCTGGTGGCTGGCTAGACTGGGCTGGCTGGGTGGCAGGAGCACAGATGGCAGCCAAGGAGCTGTTCTAAGGTGGGGCTACTCCCCTCGACCTTGAACAATGGAGTGATACCACAGGAGGAACTTGGCTCTGCTTTAGGGCTCAGAGAACCTGCATAAGCAAGCTTCCAGAACCATATCCCCCAAATAACTGATCTGGAGCAGAAAAGGAATCTCTGTTTACTCTGTTACCTTTGTATTTGTTTTCTCAGGCTGCCACAACCAAGCACCACAGAGTGGGTGACTTGAACAACAGAAATTTATTTTCTCACAATTCTGGAGGCTGGAAGCCCAAGATCAAGGTGTCGGCCGAGTTGGTTTCCTCTGAGGCTGCTGTCCCTGGCTTGAAGATGGTTTCCTTCTCCCTCTGTCCTCACATGGTCTTCCTTCTGTGTGTGTCTGTGTCCTAATCTCCTCTTCTTAGTAGGACACCCGCCATATTGGATTAGGGCCCATCCTAATAACCTCATTTTAACTTAATCACCTCTTTTAAGACCCTATCTCCAAATACACTTGCATTCGGAGGTACTGGGGGTTAGAATTGCAAAATATGATTTGTGGGGGACACAATTCAGCCCATAGCACCTATATTTCTATTTTCTGCTTAACACAGAGGAAAAAGAGAACACCCTACCCCAGCACTCTGAAACCCGTTCCATAATTAGAGTTGGCCAAGTTGCTTCCCACTTCAGTTTATACTTGGTGACATAAAATGACCAGTCACCAGGGGTTTCTTAATCATCAGTGTGCTGGAGTGTTCTCATGAATCCTGTCACCTCCTACACTCTTCTTAGCATTAGTTCTCAGCCTTTGTCAATAACTGGAATGTTCTGATTGCTAAATAATAAATTTAATGCTAGTAATATCAGCCACATCTACTGAGCACTTACTGTGTGACAGATGTGACATAGAATACTGCCCAAACTTCCCCTCATTTAATGCTCGCAATGACCCCATGGGGTAGATACAGTTAAGATTCTGTTTTGTTTGTGGGGAAATTGAGGCCCCACAGTTGTTGCGAGGTAGAGTTGGAATTCATACTCAGGCAGTCTGACTCAAGATCAAGAGCCCATGCTGCTCTAATAATAATAATAACAATAACAACAACAACAACAACAACAACAATAATAATAATAATAATAATAATAATAATAATAATAATAATGGCAGTAACCATAACCATAATCACCGCAACAATAATAACCATGGAAAGCAGGCTAATGCCTAGGAGTAAATGTCACTGGAATTGGAAGCTGGTTCTGATAGGTCCATCTGAGCGAATGGTTGATTTGACACTGGGGGAGGCCCGCCGTGCATAAACTTGAAGATATAACCTGAGCTCTGATCTTGGCTCTGTGCATCCTGTTGGAGGTTGGAGGGGTGTGAAGAGACCCTCCCCGCCTCGAATGGCTCTGCCAGATGCCATCCGATGGAGAGAGTGGCCAGGAGGAACTGGACCCAGGACATCGGCCTTTCTCTACTGAACCTGCCTTGTACTAGGCTGCATGCATTGGGCACTTCATGTATTCTTATACAGTTCAACTCTCACATCAGCTCAGCAAGGGGCAGTAGTATTTCCTCATTAACTGCATGAAGAAATGGACTCAGAGAGGTTGGGTAAGTTACCCTAGCTAGTGAGTGGCAGGGATGGAACTGGAGTTGTACAAACTGTCCAGCACCTGAGACAGCAGCTCCTGGTAAAGCCACCACGGGCGAGTGGGTTTCCTGGGACTCAGTGATAGCCTGTCGGACACTGATGACCCAGCCCAGCTGTCCTTATCTGCAAGCAAGTCCCTGCCTGTGGGTGGTGAGAGCTATTCTAAGTCAGAAGCGCAGCACAACAGTGGGAGCTGCCAGAACCTTTGTGTGGGTGACACAACTGGAACAGATTTGGACAGGAGGTTTTGGGGGGTGAGGCTCTGTCCACCGCCCCACGTTTGGATGGTTTGAGTCACCATTTGTCACTGCTCCCTCTGCTCCCACTCATGCAAGGTGGAGGAGGAAAAAACACAGCATTTGGCTTTGAAGTGACACATATCTGGGTTTGAATTTGAGCTCACTACCCACTTGTTTTGTGACCTTGGGCAAGTTCCTTTACTTCTCTGAGCCTCAGTTTCTTCATCTATGAAATGGGGATAAGCCTTCTTCCCTCCTAGCTTCTCATACCTGTGAGCACTGCTGGGGTCCCATGCAAGCTGGGACCCAACTCACAGATGCCTTCCAATCAGATTTTCAGGGATTTTTATCACTATTTTTTTCATCATTTTTATCATCATTTTATCATCATTTTTATCACAGTTCAGATGTGTAGCAAGAAGTGAAGCTACAGTTGTCTCATTTGGTAACAGACCATAAAGCTGGGAGTTTTGTAGACCCAGCAGTGCCACCTCTGCTTGTCATTCTTGCATATATTACAGTACTTTGTCTCTCTCTCCTACACACACACACACACACACACACACACACACACACACACACACACACACACAGTCTGCCCAAATTCCCAGCGCCAGCAGGGGTAGCAGCACGGTCAGCAGGCAGTGTGGCCCAGATGGGAGAAATCTGAGGAACAGGATTTGAGTCGTAGCTTTGCTTAAATAAAGCGAGGCATGTCATGGACCTGTCTGCACCCCAGTTTCTTCTTCAATAATGTGCAGTTGACAGAACTCTTAAGGTTGTGAATAGAACGATAAAGATCGTTTTCATCACTTGTCTGTCTCAGTACCTGGCTTGCTGTAGGGGTTCAGTACATGGTGTTTCATCATAATGCGAAACTTCTCTACACAAGGTAAAAAGCTTCCTGGGTTTAAGCCTAGTTGAGTGTGAACTCTTTAAATATTTATAAAACCTCAACTAAATGACATTTTATTGACAATGTCTTATTCATATGATTAAGGCTGAACCTGCCATTTATTTTGCTCAGTCGGTGTCTGGCCTGGAGAACAGCTGATGACCTGAAGTCTCAGCATCTGTGGTCGGTTTCCTTCGTTTCAGGAGGAAGCCATGTACTGTTGCTCCTCCCCACGGGTCCCAAGTCCCTCATGGTTTTGATGTGTTGATTGAAAGGCAGCTTTCCTTTCCTTTCCTTTCCCCTTGGGTTTGTCCTCTGAGGGCTCCAGTGCCTCACCCGCTCCTTCTGGTCATGCTTTGATGCACGTTGATATCCTCTCTGCTTTCTTGGCTTTGTCAAGAAGCTCTTGCAACAAAGCTTCTGGCCTTAGGGAGCCTTGAGGAAACCAGGCCTGAACCTAATTCCAGAAAACTCCATCTGTTGGGGTGGGTGGGGTGGTGCCTTGATCTGCATCCAAGAGACCCTCAAGGGCCTGAGTTTATCAAGAGCTGACTATTCAAGCAGCAGGTTACTCATCCCCTGGCGTCTCTTTCATTGATCTTTCTGCGGTGGCTTGGATGGGAAACGGACCCTGTAGGTCTCACCCAGCTCTGCCCTAAAGCAAGCATTACAAACCCAGATGTCTTTTTGGGACCAGCAGGGAACATAAGTGTCAGGACACAGATGGTTACATCAGAGAGCCCATTCCATACCTAAAGACATCAAATCTACAAATTAAAACAAATCAACCAGTCAACCAACCATCCAACCACCAACAAACCAACCAACAACCAACCAACCAACAACCACCCAAACAACCAGTGCACGGTTCCCTTGACCACACCTGCCCTGCCAGTCACCGACTAGCAGTGGTCTGTACCTGTCCATCAGAGCGCCAATCAACCACAATGTGAAGCACCCTTGTGTGTTTCTGTGCTCAGTTTTCATCTCTCTGCCTCCATTTTAATGTAAGCTGGGTGATGGCAAGTCTTTGTCTGTTTAGTTCACCATGAGTGTCTCAGGACCTCATAGGGTTCTACAATGATGCCTCGTGCACAGCCTGGGCCTTATAAATATTTGTTGAATATTTGATGTGACTCAGATCCCTGAAAAGTTTAGTCTGCTTCACTCAAAGTTGCCCTTTTATGGCCAAAGGCTAGAGCTTGCACTTGGCCAGATGTCAGCCCTCAAGCCAGCCGTGAACAACTGAACAGCCCTGCATGGTTGGCTCCACGTCACCGCATTTGCCTGCCCATCGGTAGAGCACAGTGGTCTTTCCTGACGTGGCCCCTGCCTGCTTCTGCGGCTGTGTCCCCATCACCCCCAGCTTCCTTGCTGGGTCCTGGTCACACTGTGCTGCCAGCTCGCACAGGTGTCCTCTGTCCTCTGTGCATCAGCACACCTGTTCCCTCTGCTTGCAGTGCTCCTGCTCACCTTGTCCGTCCAGTGTCTGGCACATGGCAGGCGGTCAATCAATATTTTACTGAGGCTTATTGAACAAATGCTTATCTCCTCATCCATCAGACAAAGCACAATTGGGGACTCCGGCAGGATGCTTTCCCTGATCTTCTTATCTCTATTCTACGGAGGAGGTGATCTTTTCCCTCCGTGATTCTCTATGTCATCTTGAAATGGAGTAAAACACCAGCCTTTCTGGATCACAATGAGAATTAAATCAGCGAATGCCGCCAAGTGGCTGGCCCAGAGGGAGCATTTGCTGAAACGGAAGTGCCTTCTCTTTCCTCAGGGAAGCAGTTCCACTGCCACCAAAATCAACTTTGGGGGAAAACAGATGATGGGCTGACAGTTTCAACGGGTTCCCACTGGCTTTGTCAACACTGGGTCTGGAGGGTCTCAGAACATCATTGGGCAGTTTTCCAACATACTTCCATCTACGGCTCACTTCGTACCTGGCACAGGGAGTCCACAGGCCCACCAGGTACTTCCAGCCACCCATCAGTTGTCCACAGGTGAGCCCAATACGGCAGGGGCTACCAAATAGCACAGACTACTGAAGAGCAGCGGGGCCCTCTCTTCTAACAAATGATTCGGTCAAGTGACCAGGCAACTCCAGTGGCTGAGTGAGAGATGCTGTTTTGACCGCTGCCCTCCAACTCCCGGACCCTTCCTTCCGACTTCTCTGCCCTCGGGACTCCCCACCACAGGGTTTCCCGGGAAGTCGCTCTGTCCCTCCAACTAGTAACTTTGTGACTTCGGACAAATGACTGAAACTGTCTGAGTCTCACTGAATTCATTCATAAAGTGAGGAAAAGTATTACTTTATTACATCGATCAGAGAACCCCTCTATCCCTACCCACGTCTGATCAGGAAGCTTTCCAGGCACGTGAGTCTTTTCTTGCTCACTGCAATGTCCAGGACAATGCCTGACACGTAGCAGATGCCAAATCACTTGGGTCTCTTTGAGGTGCTCACTGCTAAGCAAAGATGAGACAGTGAGGAAGGAATACTAGCAACTGGGCTGACCTCAGAGTGCCCTTCAGGCTTAATATAGTAAGAAAAACAGAAATAAGTAAAAGAGCATTTTTGAGCACCTCCTACATGGTAGGAAATGTGCTCAGAAGATATATATATATATATACTTTAAAAACTGTGGTAAAATACATGCAACATAATTTACCACTTAGCGCACACATCAGTAACACTAAGCGCATTCACAGTGTGGCACAACCATCACAGCTGTCCATCTTCACACCTCTTCATCTTGCAAAACCGAAACTGTACTCGTTAAACAATAACTCCCCTTTCCTCCTCCCCCCCGCCCCTGGCAACTGCCATACTACTTCCTATCTATGAATTTCACTTCTCTAGGTACTCATGTAAGATACTTATACAGTATCCGTCCTTCTGTGACTGGCGTATTTCACTGAGCATAATGTTCTCAAGATTCATCCATGTTGTAGCACGTGTCAGAATTTCCTTCCTTTTTAAGGCTGATATTCCACTGTGTGTATGCACTACATTTTGTTTATCTATTCATCAGTCAATAGACACTTGGTGGTTTCCATCTCTTGGCTATTGTGAATAATGTTGCTATTAATATGGGGTCTCTTTGAGACTCTGCTTTAAATTCTTTTGGGGATATACCCAGGTGTGTGTATGTATATATATGTACGTACAGAAGGTGCCAAAAAAAATGTATACCCATTTTAAGCAAGGAAAAAACTATATTAAATGTAATACAATGAATGACACTAGCATTTATTTGATTAACCCCATCTTTTAAGCGAATGTTATACTACACATTGCTACTGTAATTCAATTCAACTTCGAAAAGTAATACATAGATACCATCGCTTAAAATGTGTACATTCCTTGGGCACCCCCGGTATATATAATTTAAAAATGTGTGCACACACATATATAAAACTTTAAGATTCCAATTCAGTGTTGCAATGGGGATCTTATGTCTATCTTACAGATGAGGGACATGAGGCTGGGAGGCTCTGTGTAAATTTCATGGTGCTAGGCAGCTGGCATGGCCTGGCGCCATGTGGTAGGCATGGTCTCCATTCTCATGTGCTCACAGGAGGACAGTGGAATTCTCTCAGAGCTTGGAATCAGCGTGTGCCACTGTACCCCACCCACCGCCACCCCTTCTCACCGGCCAGAAAAGCCTGGGCTCACCTCGTTGTCTCGGTCTTTCTCCAGGAAGTGGCGGGCCACGTGACTGGGTAAGATATTCCGCAGCATGTTTTCATTGTGTTCCCTCAGCTCCTTCATCTCGTTGATCTCCTCTTTGGCCTGAACTCGCCACAGGAAGTCCAGGCGAGCTGTGTACTCCAGCTGCAGTTCAGGTGAGAGAAAGAAGACTCAGATGGACTTTCCTGGTGTGGGTTTCAGGTACACAGGTGTGGCAGGTGGGGGAGGCTTCTCAGGAACTCATCACAAACGAAACAGAAACCATCTGCACATTTTGGGAGGCATTATGCCTGAGGCCAAGAGATGAGAGGATGATCAGATTTCACAGGGCTGTGTACCTCCTCTTCCTAGCATGATGGCACCTGTTTTTATAATTGTTTGTGTGATGATCTGGGAACGCCTGTGTCTTCTACTAGACTGTAGGTGCTGTGAGGTAAGGGGTCCTTTTACCTGATATTATATCCTTAACATGCAGCAACATGCCTGGCACAGGGCAGGTGTTCAATCAATGTGTTGACTCAACAAATAAATCACAATAATAAAAGCCAGCTAAGACTCAGATGGTGCTTGTTATGTGCAGGCATTATTCTGAGCAACATATATATATTCACTCCTTTAATTCACACAACAACCCTAAATAGGAAAGTCTTATCATCAGTCCTTATTTTACAGATGAGAAAATCAAAACAAACATGGTTAAGTAACTTGAGCAAAGTCACACACCAGTTAGCGGGGAAGCCAGGATTTGGGATCAATCCACAGTATGGCCCCAGAGTCTGAACTCTTATCATCACTAGGCAACAAGGAAGAAATGGATGAGCTAATAGTGGAAGGATCGTGGATGTAGTTGAGAGGCAAATAATGCAGAGAGTCCTGGTCCCACTTCAAAGACTGACCTGGACTAGTAACTTCATGTCAAGTCCCCTCATTTCTAAAATTGGGTTGAATACCAATGACCATGCAAGACTGGAAGAGGAATTGTTTAGGAAGTTACAGATTAAGCACGTGGCTCACAGCAAGTCCTTCACAGACACTTGTCCCCTCTTGTCCTAGCTTCCCTTTGCATTGGAAAGTAGGCAGCTTTCTTTCTAAAGAATCTCAGCTTTGGGGTGTTGTCATTTCAAAGTCTTAACTATCGAAATGAACAAGACGTTGCTCCATTAAACACATACATGGCTGGATACCCTGAATTCAAGGGCTTCAAAATTCAACTGGTTCATTTTCTTTGTCTTACGTGAAAGTCTCAGTGGAGGACAAAAGTTAAGAAAAGACAGAGGCACCAGGTTATTCATTCAGCAGAATTTGTAACAGCAAAAGCTGGAAGCAACCCAAGTGTTCATCTTGTTGGGTGAATAAACTATTGTCTACAGCTATGAAAAGAAAGGAAGACTACTTCTCTATACTTTGATGGACTGTCTCCAATTGGAGATGGACAAAAGCATGTGTAGTATGCAACCATTGATCTAAGGAAGGGAGATATCTGCATATCTCTCTCTCTTTTATATATATATATATATATATATATACATATATACACATATATATGTATATATATATATAATTTATATTTTTTTATTTAATTGTTGAAAAATCGAAGTACAAAAAATAAAAAGTAAAACACCATAAAAAATCATTACTGATGTGATGAGGAAGGGAAGGGAAGGAATAAGGAAGGAATAGGGATAGAATTTAAACTTTTAAAATTGCATCTTGTTTTATAAACTTGACTCTTGAATCACAGCAATATTTTACTTAGCTACACAACTAAATAGATTTTTGAAAACTCTGTAAAAACAAACAACTAAGCAAATGAACCTACATGTATAACGAATAGAGGAACTATTCCAAATTTCTTTTAACACAATAATTTGATGACGCATTCGCAGAGGGAAATGCTCTAAGAATGAAAAGAGCTCAAAACACATCTCAAGAATCTTAAAACTGTTTACACCAGTCATATTGTAGGCGGTAGCGTTTGTGTTATTATTCTAAGACTATTGTATATGAATTGTAGGATAAAGCAAATGAGTATTTGTATTGGTGTCACTGAGAACTGGAATTTTGGGGACGGGAAAAAGGAGATGCAGATGAGAGGTTGATGAGGTTAAGTGAAAAGCCTGTGACCTGACTCTGCAATGGAAGCATCGCTATGAACTCATGACATATACGTATTTCCTAGCTCCGCCCATTGAAGTCAAGGCTCACAAACAATGAAAACCTCGTAGCAATAAGCACTCCCAATGTCCAGACTGTGGCTCCATAATAGCAATTCCTACAAAAATGACCTCACGCTCTTTGCAGAACAGGTCGAAGTCTAGGGAAGAAAATGTACAAGCCTGGAACATCTTTTCACACCAGAAAGCAAGGAGGCTGACTACCAGAGTCTACTGGGGTTATGATGGAAGGACTCAGAAGCCAGTGTGAATAGACAGGCGCCCCTTGTCAAAGATGTGACAAATCGAACTTTACGAAGAATAATTTTTGCAATGAATTGAAACATAGGAAGTATGTTAAAATGAATAAGTTCATAATGACACTTAAAAAACAAAACCTCACTCATCACCTCTAGATGATGCTTGGGAAAAAAGTAAAGAAGTTACTAGAAAATTTAATGGGAACACATTTATAGGCACAGAATGAAGCATTTATCCTGCCTTTGCTTTTATGAGCTGTACTTCGAGGTAACAAATAGTTGGTGAGGAGAAGGTTCTCTTTTAAAACATGTTCCAGGTCATAAATTATGGAGTATTGATAGGATTGGAATATCACCACCTATAAAATCAATATCGATAGCTGCTAACATCACAAACAAAGAGAGATAAGCAGACATTACGTGTCGGGTATAGTGGTTCACAAAACCAACAAAATATTTTTGCAGAAAAATATTGAATTTGAATCTCACCAAGTTTCTAGAACATAATAACCAATGCAGGAAAAAGGAAGGACAGAGGAATGTGTTAATAACTCTAGAGGTGCAATCAACAAACTCTAGATGGGGAGATATTCTAGAGGTCAGATGGCTCTCAAAAAATAATGAAAGAAAAAAAAGATGGAGGGTGATCCTACAGATTAAAGAAGACTTAAGAGACATATACCAATGACAATATGTGGATTTTATTGGGATCCCAATTCAAACAAACTTAAAAAATATAAACTACTTAAGAAATTGCAACACTTCCCGGAAGTTTGGCAAATGTTAAAGAATTACCGTTTTTTATATTAAGATGTGTTCATAATATCGTGATTAGATTGAATTCTCTGTCTTTTAGATACATATTGAAGTATCGACTGATAAAATGATAGGACATCTGAAATTAGCTTCAAAATAATTGGGGAGGGGCAATAAAAAAATAAATAGGGATATAGATGAAAAAAGACTGGATATAAGTTAATAATCATTGAAGCTGTGGGTTCATTATACTATTTTATATACTTTTATATATGTCTGAAATTTTCCATAAGAAAAAATTTAAAAAATGTTTAAGTGGAGGCAACAGGCTGTACAAAAGAATGCTAGTTCAAACTATTTTATGCCAAGGTGCTGTGTGACCTTGGGAAAGTCATTCAATTTCTTGTATTTTGGTTCTCCTAAAAAAATAATAATCACCCCCATCATGTCTAATTCAAGAGTCATGGATTATTATATGGTTTTATTACATGGACCAAATGACATATGTCATATGCATGTAAAAGAACTCTGAAATGTTTAAAATGTATATTTATAAGATATTACTGTAATTTAAGTCATCTCTGGATGACATCAGATCCAAGCTGTGTTTTAGTATTTTTCCCTCCAGGTTCAGGAGCACTGGGTTTTGATTTGTGAAGTTGCCTTTGTCAAGGGTAGACTTTTCTCATTCGCAACTATTTCCAAATGAAATACTTTCTTTCCCCCTTTAAAATTCATGCTTACTTGAAGCAAGAGATAATTTTTTATTTATTTTCTGTTGAAACACTCTCATCTAATTGAACTTGACTCAGAAACATGAGTAGGGAAATTGGAATACTTGAGTCTATTTGAGCAAGAATTTTTGGGCTGCTGGGTGGCTCAGTTGGTTAGAACACGTGCTCTTAACAACAAGGTCACCGGTTCGATTCCCGCATGAGATGGTGGGCTGCAGCTCCCCCCACCCCCCACAACTAGATTGAAAATGGTGACTGGACTTGGAGCTGAGCTGTGACCTCCACAACTGGATTGAAAGAACAACTTGACTTGGAGCTGATAGGTCCTGAAAAAACACACTGTTCCCCAATAAAATTTAAAAAAAAAAAGAATTTTCCAGTTACAAGACAGGACTCACTTTACATTTCGGCCAGGTGAGTGCATCTAAAGCATGGCCATAAAGATGGCAGTCACAGTGCTACCTTGTCTCTCCACAAAGCAAGTCTCATAAGGCAGGCGTCACATACTATTAGACCCTCACGGAAGCAAAGCCTTCCTCTTCTGTTACCAAAGATCTAGTGTACCTACTATGTGCTGGGGGGCCAGACATGGGAAGATGAGGGAAACTCAGTCTCTGCCTTTGATTTACTCATAGCCGAGTGGTAAAGAGAGCGCACAAAAAAGGAAAACGCATTTCAACACAGTCCGATTTGAGAAGACGTGGAGAGAAAAGCAAAGCATATGGAAGGCACGGGCACTGCGTTCTTAAATGTGAAAATTCCCAGCATTTGCTTAAGAAATGTCGATTGAATTGAAAGTGCACTCTTTTTCCTGGTTTTTACTAAACCATCAGGGAACTGGCTATGTGAAAAGAGTACCAAGGGAGCTAGCTAATTCATAGTGTCCATATGTTTCATGCCAGGCTCTTACCACATAACACGGCTCTGGCCGTGGACCAGGCACTGTTCTAAGCACTTCATACAGGGAGCTCATTTGATCACTCAGCAACTCAACAAGGTAGGTACCTTATTATCCCCATCTGACAGGGAAGGAAATGGAGGCACAGGAAGGTGAAGTCAGTTGCCCAACGTCTCACAAGTAGAGTTCAGCTCGGGGCATTGGACTCTAAGCTATGACTCTTAACTCCTATACTCTACTTGCCCTCATTCAGCTGTTCTCCAACTCTTATCCTTTTCATTTCATAGGTTAAAAAAAATGACAGCTCTGAGCGCTTGAGTCTCTCAAGGTCCCCCGTTCTCCTAGTGGCATTGCTGGGACTCAAATTTAAGAGTATTTGGTTCCAAGACTTGGGTCTTTCTTTCTAGCCTGCAAAATCTGAGTGCCTGTCTTTACCAGACCTGGAAGTAAGTGACCTCATTAATCTCTGTGCCTAGCGGGTGGCTGCCTCTGCCATACATGGAGACGCAGAGGCAAAGCCCACACCTCAGGGCTGTGAGTGAACCAAGCTCCAGGTGTGCAACCTTCAGAACACTCACCTGACTGGAGGAGGAGGAAGCAGTGGCATATCAGCGCCATACGCTCCCACCAGGAGGCTGCTGTGTACCAGGCATCAATGGGCATTATTCAGCCTTTCATAAAAATAGAGGGCCCCTGAGTCACAAAGGGAAACCGGTGGAAGCAGGTAGCAAAAGCCAGGAATGGGCAGACTCGATCCAGACGAGCAGGACCCTCACCGATGCTATGAATGGGTGACACCTGAAGTGAGGCGAAGCTACAGAAAGCATCTTCTCACAGGAAGGCAGTGAGCAGCTCGCGGTGGAAAGAGAATGGACCCAGACGGTAGGGTGTTTGTGTTCTGTTTGCCTTTTCTTATGGGCTTTGTGAGCTCCAGTGACTTGCGTCTCTGCTCCCGCGCTGGGACCACATGGATAATAATACTTTCTCTGTTTGTCTCAAAGGCTTGTTTTCAGAGTAAACTATTAATAGCTCATGATTTTTGAGCATTGATTCTATACACAAAGCGCTGGGATAAGTAGATTATAATTACAGTCTCATCTAATACTCTAACAACCCTATAGGACCTGTTCCTATTTAATAGGGGAGAAAACAGACTTCAAGTTCAGTAAACTACTGAAAGTCACAGATCTGCTAAGTGGCAGAGTTGGGGTTTAAATAGGCTCTCCCTCACTCCAAGCCTCTACCTGTAACTGCTGCAGTTATGTGACTGTGTAATTTCAAAGCCATTTGAACACTAAAAAATAAAAAAGGGAGCTATCGGGTGTCACTGAAGCACTAGACACTCACTGTGCACATCTATAGTCGTACTTAATACATATTCTTAACATGATTAGTGCTTCTGCTTTCCCAGGACAAGTGGAGACTAGAATAAATTACATCAGAATGCTAGAGAAGCATTGAGGAAGGGAGCGCGAACAGGGCGGGAAGTGAAGTAATTACTTAAGGTGACAGAGGAGACGGGAACACTTTCCTTATGGAACAAGAATGCTCCCTCTGCACGCGCGCTCTCTCTCAGCTTTCTCTGTGGATTTCTCACTTTTCAGTTTAAAACCTGGGTGATGGAGTGTGCATGTGTTTTTCTGTAGGATTGCCTTGTCAGAGTCTGTCTTCATAGCTCGCAAGTGGGCTGTCATTTGCATGTCATCCTAAGGAGCTGTCCCCTGGGACTAGAAGCCATCAGACATGGGAGACATGACCCCAGCTCTCAAAGAGAGCCTGAGACCTAAATATAGGAATTCTGGAAATGGCTCGACTGACATTAGGCTTATTGTTTCATCATAAATTCAGCTAAAATTGAAAAACGAGTCAGAGTCACACCGCGAGATGGAACGCCCGGGGCCACCGCATTGGCGTCAGACAAGTTTGTGTCTTTCTCCAGTCGAGAGAAGGGACACGGTGGGCTTGGGAGACAGGTCTGGGCTTGAATCTAGCTGAGTAGCCTTCCTTTCTTCATCTGTGAAACAGGATTGATAATAACTACCATTCAGGGTTGTGGGAAGATTCAATGAGATAACAGAGGTAAAGTGCTAGGCACTCAGTAGGAACTTGATGTATATGAACTCTTTTCCCCCTTGTCTTTGCTTGCCAATTTTTATATGACTTTTTTTATCCCTTTTACCACTCCCCCCCTTTATTACAAATAGCATTATATATGTCTCTCTAGGTTCTTGGGGTTTGCGGCTGGTTCATCCCTGGTTTTCTCAGGGTTTGTTACCTCTCCGTTTCCATAGTGATTTCTCAGTGATCTGTTTCTATTTCTGCTCTGTCTGACCATCTTCCTGTTTTGTCTTTTTTCCTTTCCTGGTTACTTTTTTTTTTTTTTTTGGAAGTGCTTACATACCAAAGCAACATGGACAGGGAACCAGAGCAGAGCAGTGAAGCCCGTGGGGTCTGGCTCTACCAGAGAGAGGAAATCTCCCCAGGTGGCGAACATTCCCTCATTCATGGTCTAAGTTGATGGAGAAGTCCCATTGGTGACAGCAGACGACACTTCCTGGGTGCAGCCTGGTAGGATGCTCCCATGCAGAATCATTTCTTGCCTCTCCAACTCTTGAAGGCCTTAGACAGCCTGATCCACACACAGCACACCCCCATGGCAGGATCTGGAGTCTGCTCTCTGCTCTCCTCCAGGAGACTAGAACCTTTGGGGCCAGGGGTGGGTTTTGTACAGAGCTACCCACAGTGCCCACCCAGATCCTGGCAGACTAGAGGCTCAGAGGGACATAGCATCAATATGGGGCAGGGGTGGGGGGAGGGTTGGGGCTCTACCTACACAGGGCAAATCAGTAATGAAGCACTTCCTGTACTTAGGTAGGGCAGTGAGCAAAATGCTGCACACACAACAATCTCAAGGGGTTCTCCAAAACAGCCCTACCCTGGGTATTACACTCTCAATCTCAAGCAGTGAATAGTCATTCGCTACAAAGAAGAGCGAAGGCCAGTTTCATGGCAGCAGAAAACGAGAGGGGACTGAAGGTGGTCAGAGCAGAATGTTAGATTACCTGCTGTCCGTGGTAGAACACGGCAAGGAGGAACATGGTCATCAGCAGCAGCGACGCCTCCTTGGTCCCCAGGAAGTCTCTGTTGGAAGAAGAAATGCAAATGGCGGTGTGGTTCCTGACAACCACAGAGGGACTCCAAGGGCACTCGTTAGGACAGATTCAGAAATGAGTGGGCATGAAAGAAACAGGCCCTCACTTCCTGAGCACTCCCTGGGCCATAGGGACTACTCTGAGGGCTTTCACAGAGGCTGATGCAGAAATCGGTTGGCCCTCATGGGTGTGAGCTCACTCAGGTCAGACCTGGGGGAAGACTGTCGAGTCTAGCATTTTGGCAGTGTGCTCACATTCACAGTGGCGTCTTCTATTTGCAGAACACTTTCTCTAGATTTCAAAGAGCTCTTATACTTTCTTGTTCAAAAATCCATGTGAAGACCAGGATCCCCGCCCCCCACTCCCTTTTTTAGATGTTAGCCTTTTAAGAGATAGGTATGTAGTGCTTGCTATGTGGCGGTCCTGTTCTACGTGCTGTAAGAATCACACTTAGATTCTTTTATATCAATTCTGTGAATTGGACACTTAACTTCTATCAATATTTGAAATTCTTATATCAATTCTAGGAATTGGGCACTGTTGTTGCCCCCGTTTCAATTCTTATACCCTTGCCAGGCTTCCATTGGCTAAAAAAGAACACTGAAAATAAAAACGCTCAAGACAAGTCATCTCTATGGTGCTGTGACTTGCTTTCTATCACCTTCTGTTCTATCCCCCAAGTGTCTCCACCTCAGGCAACACTCCCGCATCCATTCACCTAGGCAATGTCCCCATGTCCATTGACCCAGGTGCTTGAGCCAAAAACAGAAACAAAATTAGGAGTCAGCCCTCACCACTCTAATATCCCAGTCCTGTCTGCTCTTCCACCAAAATATATCCCTGGTCCATCCACTTCCCTCCATCTCCACCTCCACCCCCTGAGTGCAGCCACCATGATTCCCACTAGCATCCTCATGTTACCCTCTACAATAGTTTTTTATATGGCTGCCAGTATATTTTTTGTCACTAAAACTAGTTCATGCCACTCCTTTGTTTTATCACCTCTAAATCACAAGCACACATATTCTCAGAACTCACTCGGAATAACTTAATGCTGATGTGGTTTAAGGACACAATGGGGCCATCATAGATGAGATGCAGTACTTGGAGGAGTAAAGTGAGCATTAATATGGCTGCACCCAGGCAACCTCCGGCTTTCCCTTTTCTATTCCTGCTAGATACTAGCGGGAGGGCATGGGGGCAAGAACTCAGCCGCAAAGGCCAGCTTCTCATCTAGCTTTATGCTAAAAGACCCTCCCAGCTTACAGAGGGCCAGGCCCAGTCCAGGTCTCCAGGTAGACCAGGACTTAGGAATGGAAACATGCTTTCTCTTGGAGGAGGGATTCAGGTTTATGAATTCCTAGTTCCATCTGCTTTGCCTCGGAGATGAGATGCTAATATTAGATGTTACTCATTATTGTGTTTCTTTTCTATAGCCCCAGCAAAGCACATAATTACTGAGCATCTACTGTGTGCCAGGCACATGCTGGGATAAAGAAATGAAGAAGGCACATTGTCTTTGGCCTCAAAAGAGTCCAGTAAAAAAAAAAAAGAACCAAATAGACAGATAACTTCATAACACAATACACTCCATAGTAGGGATACATCCTTGTTGCCATGGGAATACATAGAAAGAGAAAGTAGCCTGAGCTGGATGTTCAGGAAGACTCAAGAACTTAGTCTTAAAGGATGGTAAGAATCTGGGAGGAGAAGGTGGGCTGAGCTCTACAGGTACGGAACATATATCTTGCTTAGCTAGCTGGTTTACAAGCCTCTAGTGTAAGGATAATAAGAAAATATCAGAAGTCAAGTCAAGTTTGAGGCCATGGACAGGCTCAGCAGGACAGAGTGTGCAGCTCTATTGGAGCTGTCCACTACCACCAGTGCTGAAGTGAAGATGGTAGGACTGTGAGCTCCGTATTGTCATCCAGCATTTTAGGGACTAGGATTCATTGACTCACAGTCACTATAGTGCTTGTTTTTCTTTGGGGGGCGGGGATAGGCATATCCTGGTATCATTCTTTCCTCCATGTCTCTAATTCCCGGGCCCCTGAAGTTTGTGGACTCCTGAAAAAAACTATTAAAGACATGAGTTTTGTAACTCATGTAGACCCAGTTTCCAATATCAGCTCTGCTACTAACCAGTTGTTTGACCTTGGACAAGCCATTTCATATCTCTGGGCTACAGTTTGTTGCCCTGTGAAAGGCTCTAGCAGTGTTTTACCTCCATCACTGTGAGGATTAAATGGGCTAATCTTGGCAACATGCTTGGTTGGCATGGTGCATGGCCCACGTCTCCCTCTCTGTGCCCCATTAAGCTCCCAGCACATGATCTTGCTCCTGGTGGTGGTGGTTTTTTAAAAAAAAATCACTGGCACACATAGTTTCAATGGGAAATGCCCGTTGTTTAGCTCCTCCTGAATGCGGCCCAAACTCCTGGTTTAACTGGCACTTCTAATATCCTTTTCTTTGTGATGCAGATGACTTTTTTAAGCCTGGCAGTTTATCACTTAAAACATACTTTCAAGAGGAAACATAAATACCTCTTGAATCATTTTGAAAGCGGTGGTTGAGCGAAAACAGAGAGATGACTAGCTCAAATTCAGAAGAAAAGTAAATGAAAATTATGAATTATCTTTGAGTCTTTCTGATGTATGTCAGGTGGAAAAAATATGGACTGAGTAGAGACCACAGAATACGCACAGTAAGTCAGCCAGGTCAAGGAACATCCAGAGAGAGTTGGGATTTGCATTTAGGAATTGTGTGTGTGTGTGTGTGTGTGTGTGTGTGTGTGTGGCTTCTATGATTATTTGAAGTATTTCCAAAGAAAGCCAAATGGCTGAAATCTGCATAAAATTATAATGCTTTTCTTGATATTGGGTGACAGAGACTTAAAACAAAGGACATTTAAACTAATTTATTTGTATTAATAAAATTGAATTAATACTACCATCTCCCTACGTTAACAGAGAAGAACATAACGAAGTGAAAACACACATTGGATAATGTCATTTTCAGAGCTATAACAATCTGTAGACATCATCTTATCTGATGTCTCACAAAATTAATATTTAATTTGTGTTACTCCTTACAGAAGTATTTACGCTAATTGTAGTAAACATAGAAGCTACTACAAATTCACAAATAAAAAAACAAAAATTGTCCTTAATTAAGCCTACAACCCAGAGAAAACAATGGTTAATATTTTGAGGTCAACTAAATGTCATTTCCTTTTCCTTTGTGCAAAAATATGTTTATGTTTACAAATTTAGGATTGTATGGTTCATACTTTTTTGTCACCCACTTTTGCACTTAGTATATATCCTAAAAATAATGCCATGTAATTACTTTTACAATGTGAATTTAATGGATCTATTTTATTCCATATTTGTGTATCATTACACAATATGTTATTACTCCTTGCAAGCCTCTTATTTCACAGGTAGAAGACTGAGGCCCAGGGAGGAGAAGTCACTTGCCCAAGGTTACGCAGCTGATTTGTGTCGGAGCCTGAATGAGAATTCACATCTCAGGCACCAGGTTCAGAGCTTTTGCCATTGTGCATCTGGAGCCTAATTTTTAGTTTGCTATTAGCTCTCATTTCCTCCGTGAAACCCAAAATAAACTAGCCAGTTTGAATTTATCTTTTATTCTATTGTCGTACTGATGACTGCGTTTGCTAAGTGCTGATTTGATGCCATACCTGTAATAACACTTTACATACACTGCCAGTTCTAATTGTCACACCAACAATTAAGATGCTATTATTCCTGGGCCGGCCGAGTGGCGCGATGGTTAAGAACTGGCTTGGGACGCCAGAGGGCCCGGTTCGGATCCCACATATGAGGGCCAGTGACACTGCCCTCTACAGCTAAGATGCTGAACAACAGCTCAACCTGGAGCT